TGAAGAAAGAGATGTAGGTCGTCAACCCACACGTCAAAATCAACTGCACGTCCCTCAGCATCAAAGGTGAGAACAGTCGGACTAGCCATAGCAGCAGTAGGAGTAGTAGCAAGAGTAGTGGCAGTAGTGGCAGTAGCAGCAGTAGCGCAAGTCAGTGCTGCTCGGTAGGGGGGGGGGGGGGCAGCGCGGCTCGGCTGGGCGGCGCTGCTCGGCTGGGCGGCGCGGCTCGGCTGGGTGGCGCGGCTCGGCTTACCAGAACTGGGTGCAGGGGCGGGCTGGGACTGTAGGGGGGTGCGCCAGTAGGGGCCGGCAGAGGCGCGCCAGCAGGGGCTGCGCCAGCAGGGGCCGGCAGGGGCTCGTTTGCAGGGGCCGGCAGGGGCGCGCCAGCAGGGGCCGGCAGGGGCTCGGTTGCAGAGGCCGGCAGGGGCGCGTCAGCGGGGCGCGTCAGCAGAGGGGCGCGCCAGCAGAGGGCCGGAAGAGGCCGCGAAGAGCTGTCGAAGAGGGCCGCTAAGGGCCGCGAGGGGGCCGCGAAGGGCCGCGAAGGGCCGCGAAGGGCCGCGAAGGGCCGCGAAGGGGCCTCGAAGGGCCGCGCAAGGGGCCGCGAAGGGCCGTGAAGGGGCCGCGAAGGGCCGCGAGGGGCCGCGAAGGGCCGCGAAACGGCCTCGAAGGGCCGCGCAAGGGGTCGCGAAGGGCAGCGAGGGGCCGCGAACGGGGGCCGCGAAGGGCCGCGAAGGGGGCCGCGAAGGGCCGTGAAGGGGCCGCGAAGGGTCGTGAGGGGCCGCGAAGGGCCGCGAAAGGGGGCCGCGACGGGCCGCGAAGGGGGGCCGCAAAGGGCCGCTAAGGGGCCGCGAAGGCCGCGAGGGGCCTCGAAGGGCCGCGAAGGGCAGGCGCACGGGGTGCTGCTAGGACAAACGCGAAACGCGCTTCGGGCAGGTAAGGAAAAAAAAAATTCTTAGTGGTGGGCCCTAAAAAAAACAGTTCCACTAGGGAACCTGCTCTATACCATGTGAGAATAATGAGAGGAATGATTGAACTAGGAAACAGGTGGGTTACAAGTAGCAAACACATAAGTGTTGTACCCTCTAAGGACTACCCCACTACAGCCTAAACAGACTATAGCATATATAAGTTTGACATTTTTCTGGTGAGTAGGTCGCTGGTGAACCAGTGATGCAAGAGTCCGTTCTTGTCATGCAGCTTATGATGTTTCTTGTTCCTCGTGCAGATTATGACGTTGTCGTTGAAGGCGCCGCCTGGTTGGAAGGATGCTGCTGTGTGGAAGTTACTTGACTACTTGACGGTCGAAGCTGACGTGGTGGTGGTGTCGATTGCTGCTGATTCGGGCAGTGAATACGCGAGTGGCCGGACGTTCAGCAGAGATGACAAAATGGCGGTACGTGTCTTCGTCCATGATGCTCGTTTTATCGGTTGTTGTTGTTGTAGCGCCGTTGAGTGTTGTTCTTGTGACGTTCTTCGTGCAGGTCCATATTTTATTGCTCGGCGTGAATTTCGGCGCAGAGATTTGCTTCGGAGATTCTTCCGTGGGCTCGGAGAATGGCTCGAGTGGAGCGCCACTGAGGACCGAGACCTGTGATAACGACAGTGACAAACACTTCTTCGGATATTGATCCTTGCTGTCGCGCTGCTTTTTGGCGAGTCAAGGTTGCTGACCTTTGACCTTCACTCAACCTCTTGTTGTTGTCTTTCTGTCAACCGCTTTGGTTGACTCGCTGTTGCTTCGCTTCAGTTCGCTTTGCTTTTGTTGTAGTGCTCGACACATCAGAAGTGCGAACTATATGTTTCCAACACGGCTTAGCTCTAGGCGCAGTCGTGGCTGCACGCGTTTACGAGAGAACGCGGGGACATCGGCTCCTAGGTGCTAAGGGGCGTGAGCAGGGCTGATTTTATCAGGGTAATTACCCTGATTTCAGGGTGATTTCAGACTTGTCACTTTCTGGACCCTGAGAAATCAGGTTTTTCACATTTTGGTCCCTGATCCATTCAGAGTATTGCTTTAGCGGACCCTGAAATTTTGTGTACACTCTCAGTGTAGGGTTTTCACGGACCCTGTCAATACAGAGTATGAGGCCTGTGGACCCTGAATGCGATGTTATCGGGGCGAAGTTTCTCGGAAATTTCCTCCTGATAACCCCTTCGCATTGATTTCAGTGCCCCCCACGTGCGTAATCCTCCCCCCCCGCCCCCTCGCTTTATCGAGACGAAGTTTCCAACACAGCTTAGCTCTAGGCGCAGTCGTGGCTGCACGCGTTTACGAGAGAACGCGGGGACATCGGCTCCTAGGTGCTAAGGGGCGTGAGCAGGGCTGATTTTATCAGGGTAATTACCCTGATTTCAGGGTGATTTCAGACTTGTCACTTTCTGGACCCTGAGAAATCAGGTTTTTCACATTTTGGTCCCTGATCCATTCAGAGTATTGCTTTAGCGGACCCTGAAATTTTGTGTACACTCTCAGTGTAGGGTTTTCACGGACCCTGTCAATACAGAGTATGAGGCCTGTGGACCCTGAATGCGATGTTATCGGGGCGAAGTTTCTCGGAAATTTCCTCCTGATAACCCCTTCGCATTGATTTCAGTGCCCCCCACGTGCGTAATCCTCCCCCCCCGCCCCCCCCCCACCCCCCCCCCCCCCCTCGCTTTATCGAGACGAAGTTTCTTCGAAGTTTCGTTCCCATACACCCACCATCTAGATCGGGCGAATCTGTAATATCAGATTTTAGGTTGCTGTTATTGGTCGAAATACTAGATGTGCTCTAACACAGCGCCAGTCACATCGCCACAGTGCCAGTCACATCGCCACAGATGTCTGTCAGAATCCCAACCACTAGACCATTGGGATAAAAGGGCTTGTTAAGTAGCGGGTCAGTGCACCCATAACCCCCCAGGCCAACATGCCTGTAACCCTTCCCCTAGGATCAATCGGGGATCACCAGTGGACCTCTGACACCCCCCCGCACTGGGATGCCCGAAGTGCACACACTGGGATTCGAACCCGAGACCTTCGCTCTGATAACATGTCAGAATCCCAACCACTAGACCATTGGGATAAAAGGGCTTGTTAAGTAGCGGGTCAGAGTGCACCCATAACCCCCCAGGCAAACGCGCCTGTATCCCCCTTAGGATCAATCGGGCATCCACAGTGCAGATCTATTGACACCCCCCCACACTGGGAGGCCCAGGACTGAGCACAGCGGCAACAGCCTACATGTGCATACACCGGGATTCGAACCCGAGATCACTCTGACACCATGTCAGAATCCCAGTCACTAGACCATTGGGATAAAAGGGCTTGTTAAGTAGCGGGTCAGTGCACCCATAACCCCCCAGGCCAACATGCCTGTAACCCTTCCCCTAGGATCAATCGGGGATCACCAGTGGACCTCTGACACTATAACCCTTCCCCTAGGATCAATCGGGGATCACCAGTGGACCTCTGACACCCCCCCGCACTGGGATGCCTGAAGTGCACACACTGGGATTCGAACCCGAGACCTTCGCTCTGATACCATGTCAGAATCCCAACCACTAGACCATTGGGATAAAAGGGCTTGTTAAGTAGCGGGTCAGTGCACCCATAACCCCCCAGGCCAACATGCCTGTAACCCTTCCCCTAGGATCAATCGGGGATCACCAGTGGACCTCTGACAATGTCCTGAGTGAGTGAGACTTCTGTCCTCGGTAAAGAAAGAGCGCGTTACTACGACCCTGATTTTCAATTCTCGACCCTGAACATTCAGAGTTCACTACTTCTCAACCCTGAGCAATCAGGGTGCTGTTTTTCTGGAAAATGTGCCTTCAGGGTATTTTTTTTTTTTTTTAGGTTGAAATCAGGGTTCCTAAATTTGAAAAGTCAGCCCTGGGCGTGAGTCCCTTCGAATGCAAAAAATCAAAAGTTGATTTCTCTGGGTGCGAAGATGTGCGGTCCAAAAAGTAAGTGGCTATGAATACCAAGTGTTATGGGTGCAATGGAATGAGATAGCGAGGATTGCACTAGGTGTCAAACGACTACAAAGTATGAGCGAAGGCATGAGGGAATAAGTATACGCGAAACATGCAAATAGTAACGCGGTGCGTACGAGGTAGCTAGTGCTATGCTGGCATCGAGGTTCGGGATAGTCCCGAAGCGTAGGCCGACTCGGCCAGGCCAGCGGTGCATGGTTTGGTAAAACAGTGCGCGCGAAGTTGGCGAAGCCCTGTGAGCAGTAACGGGCGAACAATGGCTGCTGCTGTACGCGATGTTTAAGAATGCGATAAGGAATGCTGAAAAATTCCTTACAATGGATATTGTTTTCAAAAAAATCCGTAAGAATCTTTAAACTGCTTCACAAACACATTTGTCTTAGCGTGTATGTGCTACCGCTTATCAACTAGTCAGCAGTTAGCTCCCAAGTCTTCAGGAAAGCTGTGGAGTTCCAGGGCGACATGGCGGCTCTTGCGTCGTCCATCGCAGCGCGAAACCCGGTAACTGGTTTGACGTCAGCTCTTCCGTCTGCCCGGCAGTGGCAACTCCCGAATGCCACGTGGCAGCCAAGAGCACGTCAGCCCGTCCTGAGCCATGCTGACCGCCGTATTCCCTCACGCGGCTTGAATATTTTGCCGCATTCCGCATTTCACGGCACCAAATTACGGAACATTATCCGCGTTAGTAGCTCGGACGCTCAAGGCAGTAATTTTGCTGCTGGTCGCCGACCTGTACATCCCGTAAGATCGCTGTATGTGGACGAGGACGATAACGGGAATTACTATATCGAGGATGACGACGACGGCAGTGGATTAATCGACGCGCCCGTATCAGTCGGCGACGGATTCTCGTTTGTCGGCGGTACGAATGTTTCTACATCGAAGATAGTTTATAAGAATGCTGCTGCTGACACGGATGTTACTAATTCGAATGTAGCCAATTCGAGTGTTCCTGACACAGATGTAGCTAAATCTACTGTTTCTTATACGAATTTGATTAAATTCTAGTGCTACTATCGCGAATGCTGCAAACGAATGGATTTGGGCCTCTCGCATCATCTGACACTGGTCATGCAGGTGGTGGCAGGGAGAGAGGTGGACATAGGGTGAAAAAGGGACAGACAAGCGATAACAAGGGGAATTTGATTCTTTACCCCTATTTCTCCTCTCCTCGCATTGGTTGCTGACGCTGGTCATGCAAGAGGTGGCAGAGTGAGAGAGCGTGGCAGGGAAAAAAGGGGCAGCGGGGGAAGACAAGACAGAGGGGAAAGAGGCAACAGCAGGGGCGAATTTGTTTGTTTGTTTTTTTTTTTCCAACTTCTCTTTTTCCCTTCTTCCCCTTTTCACAGGGAAATACGCCGAAGGGGGCGGCAGGGTGGAGGAGTGGGAGGAGAGGGGGAGTGTGGTGGTGGACCGGTGATGGCAGGGGGAGAAGGGGCTGCAAGAGGGGGAGGAGCAGCAGGGGGGAATCTGAATTCTCTACCACCCTCCTCCCCTTCCTCCCCTCCTCACAGGGAAATATGCCGAAGGGGGCGGCAGGGCGGAGGAGTGGGAGGAGTGGGGGACGGTGGTGGTGGTGGCTGGTAGGGGAGAAGGGGCAGCAGGGGGGAAATCTGAATCCTGTACCCTCCTCCTCCTCCTCCACTTCCTCCCCATTCCACAGGGAAATACGCGGAAGGGGGTGGCAGGGTGGAGGAGTGGGAGGAGCGGGGGAGGGTGGTGGTGGTGGCTGGTAGGGGAGAAGGAGCAGCAGGGGGAAATCTGAATTCTCTACCTTCCTCCTCCCCTTCCTCCCCTTCTCATAGGGAAATACGCGGAAGGAGGGGGCAGGGCGGAGGAGTGGGAGGAGCGGGGGAGAGTGGTGGTGGTGGCGGGGGAGGAAGGGGCGGTAGGGGGAGTGCAAGAGGTGCGGGATCCTGTGTTTGGGCTGAGGATGGGGGAGGGCTTTCAGGCCTCTTCAGAGGGGCTCAGGTGAGGGGGACGGGAGGGCAGCAGGGGGAATGGGAAGAGCAGTAGGGGCGGTGTAAGAGGTGCGGGACCCTGTGTTCGGGCTGAGGATGGGGGAGGGCTTTCAGGCCTCGTCCGAGGGGCTCAGGTGAGGGAAAATAAGGGGGTTTGCATGAAGGGGGGTGGGGAGAAAGGGCAGCAGAGGGAGTGGAAATAGCAGGGGGAGGGAGAACGGCAAGTAGGGGAGTGCAGGAGGTGTGGGATCCTGTGTTTGGGCTGAGGATGGGGGAGGGCTTTCAGGCTTCGTCCGAGGGGCAGACAAACATTCCTCTTCCCCCAGTCACCCCTCTTCCCCCAGTCACCCCTCTTCCCCCAGTCACCGCCCCTGTCCTCTCCTCCTCCACGTCCTCACTTCTCACAGCTACTCCTTTCGCCAAGTAATCAACACCATCAACCCCGGAAATTTCGCCCTCACCAGCTCCCCTGCCAGCACTGCAGCAGCAACAGGAGATGCAGCAGCAGCAGCAGGATAAGCATTTGCTTCTCTCTTCCCAATTCTGCTTCTTGCCCTCCTTCCCTCCTTGCACCCCCACACACTGCAGGTGGTTTGTCATCGACACACAAGCAGGTGAACAGGATCCTCCCGCCTCCTCCACCCCTCCTCCTCTTCTACTCCTCCACGGCCTCCCATCTCACAGCTACTCATTCCGCCAAGTCATCAATACCAGCAACTCTGGGACCTTCGCCCCAACCAATTCTCTCTCCTGTCACCAACACTCTCTCTTTGCTCCTTGCTTCTGCCCCTCTCGCCCTCCTTGCCCCCTTGCTCGCACACACTGCAGGTGGTTTGTCATTGACACACAACCAGACGAACCAGCCACCAGAACTGTCTCCTCCTCTTCCTCCTCCTCCCCTCCTCCTCTCCTACTCCTCCACGGCCTCCCTTCTCACAGCTACTCATTCCGCCAAGTCATAAACACCATCAACCCTGGTACCTTCGCCCTCACCAGCAGTGCAGCAGCAGCAACAGCAGGAGGTTCGGCCGAAGCTGGAGGGTCAGGTTCGGAGGAGTCGATCGGATTGCGGTGCGTGGCGCCAGATTGGCTTGGGTTTGGAGGTTCGGATAAGCCCCAGGCGGACCAGAAAAGGTTCGGGTATTCCCCGAGCGACTATGCTCGGGAACTTGGAAACCTGGTGGCAACGATGGGAGTGGGAGATGTTTCCGTTGTGGCTCAGGTAATAAGGGAGTGAGGGAGTGAAGGAGTGAGGGTTTGAGGAAGTGGAGCGAGGGTAGCAGTGAAGGGAAAGCGAGAAGCGAGAAGGGAGTGAGGGAGGGATTGTGGGTCTGAGGGAGTGAGAGGGAGGGAGTCAGGTAGCAGTGACTTTCTTATCACCCCTTCCCGTCTTCTTCCTTGCTGCCCTACTTGTCCCACACAGGGATATTTTTGTCTGCCCGCTGCAGAGTTTGTCCTTTCCAACCCTGCCCGGATCCGCCACCTCATATTTATCAACCCACCAGTAAGCGTCACGGCATGTGAAAGTCACAACCCTGCAATATCACAACAATTAAGTGGCGTTGATCAATGTTCACGCCATAAGCAAGACGCCTAGGATCACAACGCACCCCAATGAAAATGTTTAAACCACCACAACAAAAATAATAATATCGCTCCAGCTAGCAGCTCAATCATTATTTTCTTGACTGATATTTGAAAATTCGCAAAATTCGCTCATTGCTTTGTGCATCCTTCCCCACGCTGCCATTCGCGTTTTGTGCATATTCCCCCGTGCCCACCCTTTCTACCCTCGCTGTTTCCTCCTCCCCTCTCCTCCCTCTCTCCTCCCCCTCTCCTCCCTCTCTCCTCTATCTCTCCTCCCTCACTCCTTCCATCACTCCTCTCTCCCTCCCCCCACCCTCCGTGTTCCTCTCCCAACCAATCAGATCACAGACAAGCACGCCAAGCTGCCCTCGTGCCTCTCAGCCTTCTCCAACTTCCTGCTTGGAGAGATCTTCGCCCAGGTAGGGTCGCTTGCTACACGTGCTGCCCGCTGCCTGCCACCCGCCTGCTTGGTGGATGCAATGGTGGTAGGAGTTTTGAGTCGACTCAAAACTCGTCTCCACCTTCCTGCTTAGAGAGGAGGATGCAATGGTGGTAGGAGTTTTGAGTCGACTCAAAACTCTTCTCCACCTTCCTGCTTAGAGAGGAGGATGCTATGGTGGTAGGAGTTTGAGTCGACTCAAAACTCGTCTCCACCTTCCTGCTTAGAGAGGAGGATGCAATGGTGGTAGGACCCGCTATGTGCCAGTGATCGCGTGTTGGAGGAGGCGGGGTGCTACCTGCTTAGAGAGGAGGATGCAATGGTGGTAGGACCCGCTATGTGCCAGTGATCGCGTGTTGGAGGAGGCGGGGTGCTACCTGCTTAGAGAGGAGGATGCAATGGTGGTAGGACCCGCTATGTGCCAGTGATCGCGTGTTGGAGGAGGCGGGGTGCTACCTGCTTAGAGAGGAGGATGCAATGGTGGTAGGACCCGCTATGTGCCATTGATCGCGTGTTGGAGGAGGCGGGGTGCTACCTGCTTAGAGAGGAGGATGCAATGGTGGTAGGACCCGCCGACCCTACCTTCATCCCCTCTTTTCCCTTTACCCCCCCGCTTCACCTGGTGGTAGGACCCGCTATGTGCCAGTGATCGCGTGTTGGAGGAGGCGGGTTGCTACCTGCTTAGAGAGGAGGATGCAATGGTGGTAGGACCCGCTATGTGCCATTGATCACGTGTTGGAGGAGGCGGGGTGCTACCTGCTTAGAGAGGAGGATGCAATGGTGGTAGGACCCGCCGACCCTACCTTCATCCCCTCTTTTCCCTTTACCCCCCCGCTTCACCTGGTGGTAGGACCCGCTATGTGCCAGTGATCGCGTGTTGGAGGAGGCGGGGTGCTACCTGCTTAGAGAGGAGGATGCAATGGTGGTAGGACCCGCCGACCCTACCTTCATCCCCTCTTTTCCCTTTACCCCCCCGCTTCACCTGGTGGTAGGACCCGCTATGTGCCAGTGATCGCGTGTTGGAGGAGGCGGGTTGCTACCTGCTTAGAGAGGAGGATGCCATGGTATACCGCTGACTCTACCTCGCCAGTGCCTTACCTCCCCGTGCTCTCCCCTCCGTCTCCCCTTCACCTGGTGGCAGGACCCCCTGCGTGCGAGCGACAGGGTGTTGGAGGAGGCAGGCTGTTATTTGATAGACGAGGAGGATGCAATGCAATGGTGTACCGCCGGCCCTACCTCGCCAGTGGCTCACCTTCCTCTCTCCACTCCCCTCTGCTGCACTCTCCCTCGGCACCCGATCATGCAGGACCCTCTGCGAGCCAGCGATCGAGTGCTGGAGGAGGCAGGGCGCTACCTGATAGATGAGGAGGACGCAATGGTGTACCGCCCTCCTCACTCCCCTTGCTCCTCCCTCTCACATCCCCTGCTGGCAGGACCCGCTACGAGCTAGCGATCGGGTTCTGGAGGAGGCTGGCTGTTACCTGATCGACGAGGAGGAGGCCATGGTGTACCGCCGGCCCTACCTTGCCAGTGCCTCACCTCCCTTGCTCCCTTCGTCCCCTCTGCACTCTCCGTCTTCACCCGACCATGCAGGATCCGTTACGTGCTAGTGACAGGGTACTAGAGGAGGCGGGGTGTTATTTAATCGACGAGGAGGATGCCATGGTGTACCGCCGGCCCTACCTCACCAGTGGTGCCTCGGGCTTTGCGCTCACAGCCATCACCCGTGCCTTCCAGAAGGGTCTCAAGGTGAGCAGAGCGGTTGGGATGGGTTTTGAGCTCACAGCAACTGCACCTTGCCAGTGGAGCATTGGGCTTTGCACTCACAGCCATCACCAGAGCCTTTCAGAAGGATTTCAAGGTGAGCAGCAGGAGTGGGGGGGCTGTTCTGGGGTTCCCTTCCCTCTTAACCGCCGGCCCTACCTTGCCAGTGGAGCATCGGGCTTTGCACTCACAGCCACAGCCATCACCCAAGCCTTTTGAAAGGATCTGAAGGTTTGAGGTGCCTCAAAACCATACCCTGTCTGTCAGTCGTGGGAGTTCGCTGATTCCTCCTTGCCAGTGGAGCATCGGGCTTTGCACTCACAGCCATCACACGAGCCTTTCAGAAGGATCTCAAGGTAAGCATGGGGTGTGTACTTGCTGCCTGGACCTCGCAGGTGGCGCCGAATCGTGGGAAGGGGCATGAAGGACCCAAATTCACCCACAACTATCCAAATTTATCGTTTCTCCATTCTCTCCCTTATCCCTTCCCCCCAGCCGTCACTCCCCCTGGTCTCCAAGGCCCTCTCTGCTATCTCAGCCCAGCCCTCCTCTTCATCACTGTCGTTTGAGTTCCACTTTGACAGTGCTCTTTGTTGCTCCCTTCTCTCCCTCTCCACTCCCTCCCAGCCGTCACTCCCCCTGGTCTCCAAAAGCCCTCTCTGCCGTGTCACGCCAGCCCTCCTCCTCTTCCTCCACTGTCATGTGGGGCATGAAGGACCGCTGGCAGTCGTTTGATAATGTTGGCTCTATCCCTTCTCCCGTCCTCCCATCTCTCCACTCCCTCCCAGGCGTCACTCCCCCTGGTCTCCAAGGCCCTCTCTGCCGTCTCTTCCCAGCCCTCCTCCTCCTCCACCGTCATGTGGGGCATGAAGGACCGCTGGCAGTCGTTTGACGGGGTTCGGGAGGCATGCAGGGCAGCAGGGGCTGTCCTTGTGACACTAGACGAGGTGAGTGCGGAGGAAATGACAGAGGAAACAAGTTATAAAACATCTCAGTGTCTGCCCAGCTCTCCTCCTCCTCCACCGTCATGTGGGGCATGAAGGACCGCTGGCAGTCGTTTGACAGGGTCAGGGAAGCGTGCAGTGCAGCATTGGCTGTGCCGGTTTCTCTAGGCGAGGTGAGTACTACAGACAGAGGAAACACCAGCCCTCCCTCCTCACCCACTGTCATGTGGGGCAAAAGGACCGCTGGCAGTCGTTTGACGGGGTCAGGGAAGTGTGCAGAGCATCAGGGGCCGTTCTTGTGACTCTAGACGAGGTGAGTACAGACGAAGGAAACAGGTTCTGAAACATCTCAGTGTCACGCCAACCCTTCTCCTCAGCCACTGTCATGTGGGGCATGAAGGACCGCTGGCAGTCGTTTGATGGGGTCAGGGAGGCGTGCAGGGCAGATGGGGCTGTTCTAGTGACTCTAAACGAGGTGAGTGTAGAGAGGACGAGGCATAGGTAGGGCTCCGTGTGTCAAGTCGGCCCTCCCTCCTTCCTGACCCACTGTCATGTGGGGCATGAAGGACTGTTGGCAGTCGTTTGACGGGGTCAGGGAGGCGTGCAGGGCAGCCGGGGCCGTTCTAGTGACTCTGGACGAGGTGAGTGGCAACGTCTCAGTACATACAGACAGAGGAAGGAGGACCCTCAATTGGTAACAAGTTATGAAAACGTCTCAGTGTCACGCCAACCCTCCTCCTCATGTGGGGCATGAAGGAGGACCGCTGGCAGTCCTTTGATGGCATCCGAGAAGCGTGCAGGGCAGCAGGGGCTGTTCTTGTGACTCTAGACGAGGTGAGTGTAGAGAAGATGAGGCATGGGTGGTGCCACTGTCAAGCCTCACCCATAGTGCCCGTTCTCGAGGTCAAGCCAGCCTTCCTCCTCATCCACTGTCATCTGCCGCATGAAGGTCTGCTGGCTGTCCTTCCAAGGAGTTCGTTGGAAGTGTGTTGAGCGGCAGGGACGGTGCTTGGGACTCTACTCGAGATGAGTGTAGAGGGAATGATGCATGGGTGGTGCCACTGTCACGCCAGCCCTCCTCCGCAGCCAGGGTCATGTGGGGCATGAAGGACCGCTGGCAGTCCTTTGATGGGGATCGGGACGCGCAGCAGGGGCTGTTCTTGTGACTCTAGACGAGGTGAGTGTTGAGGAAATGAGGACAAGATGTTTTCTTAGGTTGCAAAAGCATCCCTTAACTTTCATTAAGCTGTCCCCACATGTGTTGTGCCCCACATGTGTTGTGCCAACTATATCCTGCTCTTTGTGCCCCTAGTTTCTTTATCCCGCCTCATCTTCATTTTCTCCGCTGTTGTTTTCTTCTTCTTTCCTTGCATGAATTCCTTTCCGAGCAGGTGGGGCATCATGCTCAGGAAGATTATGGAGAGGAGGTGGGGCGAGTAATTCGAAACATTCTTCGCCGCACAACATGACATATTTCTATTGCATCAGTATTAGGGGGTGGTACACCTGCTAGGGTTTTAGCAACGATCCTACAGAACAGTGGCGATCTTACGGACAGTGATGCGATCTTACTCAACAGTGTCCAGCACAGTGACAATTGTAATCAGTGCTAGCCAATCAAAATCATCAAAATCATTACTGTACAAAAGTAGGTAGCACTCTGTTCTGTAGGATCGCCAACAGTTCTCACGATCTCCAACTGTTGTGTAGGATCGTTGCTAAACCCTAGCTAGGTGTACCACCCTCTTATAGTATATGTGTGAATAACTTGTGGTATTTTGCATCTAATTTAAACTTTCACGGTTCGTTTAGAGTCAGTGAACACTCTCTAGTCTTATCCATTTACTTCGCTCTGACAACGGGACACCCTAAACCTGATCTCGAACTAAAGGGCCTGTTTGAGAAACAATCCCCTTTCGTGGGCTTGTCGCTGGTTGACACAGCCATCACCATACCGTGCCGCTTATCGTGTCAGCCATTTGTCGTGACCACTGCCCGCAAAGGACGTCCTGTGGCGGCTTTTCCTGGAGTTGTGTGGCAGAACTCTCTTCTGTACTACGCTTATAAAAAGCGGGCATGTGCCTTCATGCAAGACTCCAATCAGTAACCAACCAGGGATGCGACAAATTTCCGTTTTCCGCGTGTGCCTTCGTCGGTTACCATCTCGGTTAATAAAGCTGCTGTAAGAGACTCGCGAAACTCGAAAGTCGTTAATATGTGGTGTCTAATTCTCGTTGACGCTGTTAAAATGTTTGACTGACCCTGATAATAATTCCGCTTACTACAATTTTCAGCGTTGCAAGACAAGCGGGAACGACATGAGAGTCGTCGTGTCAGCCAGAGCTGTTTGCGACGGGATGGGAGGGACAGGCTGAATAACATGATCGACATCTTATTGTATTAATGCCCTTTTAAACCATTCTTTCACAAAGATAAACCGAACTGTAACGATCAGTTTTCCGGTACTTGCTGTGACAACCAGCCACCGTCGTGTGTGTATTCCCAAGGCGCTTCTGTCAATCAGTCTTCATTGTCTGTCACAGGCAAGACAGACCTAGAGTCCAGCTAACAGTCTAGAAACATTGCGTCTTTCCAACCTGGACCTCCCTTATTGGTCACCCTGCACGGACAAGACGTAGGGTCTTTTCTAGTCCATGTCCGGCTCTTTAAACAAACTCTGAACGCGCTTTCTGGTCACTCTTTGGTAATAGCCACTTTTCAAAATCATCATGGCGTCTAGGAATCGTGCAGGTAACAGTATACTAGGCCAAAAGGGCACGGAAGTCGATTGGGCGACGATTGTACGACCCGATCCTCCTTTCGTTCGGTGGATTAAGGAGCATCACTCTGCCGCGTTAACCCGCTGCGACGCCGACGAAAGCGACGCCGACGACGGAGACAACTTTGGTGACGACGTTAGCAACGACTTGAGCGACGACGATGGCGAGAGCGACGACGATGACGAGAGCGACGACGGTGGCGAAAGCGACGACGGCAAGTCGGACGACTCGTACGATATCGACGAGTACCACCTCGGAGAGAGGTTCGGAAGGCCATATGTCTCAACAGAAGACACTTTTCGAGACAGGGAAACGGATCGAGACAGGGAAATGGATAGAGAGGCCGAAACGGGTCGCGTGGAGGAACAGGGTCGCGTGCGGGAACTGTGTGTCAAACTTATATATGCTATAGTCTGTTTAGGCTGTAGTGGGGTAGTCCTTAGAGGGTACAACACTTTTGTGTTTGCTACTTGTACCCCACCTGTTTCCTAGTTCAATCATTCCTCTCATTATTCTCACATGGTTTCGAGCAGGTTCCCTAGTGGAATCGTTTTTTTTTTCGGGCCCACCACTAAGAATCTTTTTTTTTCTTACCTGCCCGAGGCGCGCCCCGTGTACCCTGCCCTTAGCGGCCCGCCCTTAGGGCCCGTCTTGTCGCGCCCCTCACGGCCCCCCTTTGCGGCCCTTCGAGGCCCCTTGCGGCCCTTCGCGGCCCGTTGCGGCCCTTCGCGGCCCCTTCGCGGCCCTTTGCGGCCCTTCACGGCCCTTCGCGGCCCCTTGCGGCCCCTTCGAGGCCCTTCGCGGCCCTTCGCGGCCCCTTGCGGCCCCTTCGCGGCCCCTTTCGGCCCCTTCGCGGCCCCTTAGCGGCCCCTTCGTGGCCCCTTGCGGCCCCTTCGCGGCCCTTCACGGCCCCCCATTGCGGCCTTCGCGCCCCCCCCCCCATTGCGGCCTTCGCAGCCCCTTCAGCAACTGCCGGCCCCTACTGGCGCGCCCGTACCGGCCCCTGCTGGCGAGCCCCTGCCGGTCCCTGCTGGCGCGCCCCTGCCGGCCCCCTTCTGGAGCGCCCCTGCCGGCCCCTTGCTAACGCGCCCCTGCCGGCCCCTGCTGACGCGTCTCTGCCGGCCCCTGCTGACGCGCTCCTACTGGCGCGCCCCTGCCGGCCCTTGCCGACGAGCCCCTGCCGGCCCCTGCTGACGCGCATCAGCAGGCCCCTGCTGAAGCGCCCCTACTGGCGCGCCCCTGCCGGCCCCTTGCTGACGCGCCCCTGCCGGCCCCTGCAGGCGCGGCCCCTGCATTTACGGCCCGCCCCTGCACCTGTCTCTGGTAAGCCGAGCCGCGCCGCGCCGCCCAGCTGAGCCGCGCCGCGCAGCCTAGCCGAGCCGCGCCGCCCAGCCGAGCCGCGCTGCCCAGCCGAGCCGCGCCGCTTAACTAAGCCGCGCCACCCTACCGAGCCGCCCTGCCGTGCACTGCCCTACTGCCTCTGCTACTACTGCTACTCTTGCTACTGCTCCTACTGCTGCTATGGCTAGTCCTATAGTTCTCACCTTTCACGCTGAGGGACGTGCAGTTGACTTAGACGTATGGGTTGACGACCTACAGCTCTTTCTTCAGTGTGATTCTAGGGATGGGGTATCCCTTTTCGATCACACGTCCGGTGTTTCCACTGCTCCTGCTGCCACTGCTGACAGTACTGTTCGCTCGCAGTGGACCACTCGTGACGATGTTGCTCGTCGTGCTGTTCGCAGTCACCTGCCTCCTGCTGAGCGCGCACACTTTGGTCAGTACAAGACTGCTCAGTCTTTGTACGACGCTGTAGTTGCACGCTACTCCTCCCCTGCCACTGCTGCTCTCAGCCGCCTCATGCTGCCGTACCTTTTCCCTGACCTTGCTGCCTTTGCCACAGTTACTGACCTAGTTGCTCACCTTCGCACTAGTGACGCCCGCTACCGCGCTGCCCTTCCCACTGAGTTCTGTGCCAAGACCCCCCCCCCCCATGTACATCACCCTTTACTACCTAGTCACCCGCCTCCCTGACTCCCTCTCTTTAGTCAGGGACCACTTTCTCTCCCTTTGCCCCACCGAGCTGACTGTCGACCTGCTAGAGGAGCGCCTTACTGCAGCTGAGAAGAGTATCTTAGCTGTAGGTGCTTCTCGCGGCGACCGTCGCACCCCCTTCTTTGAGGGGTGTTCCCCTGTTCCCCTTCTCCCCTCTGTTGCTTCTGCTGCTGCTGTCGACCTCGTTGGCACTGAGGAGGTCGGAGCTGCGTCTGCCACTAGTGGGAGACGCCGCAACAGCAAGGGCAAGGGGAGCAAGGGTGGTGGAGGGGGCGGCGGGGGAAGCAGTGGAGGAGGTGGAGGCGGTGGAGGAGGTGGCGGAATAGGTGGGGGTAGTACCGGGAGTGGGGGCGTCAGTGGCGGCAGTGGAGGTCGTGGCGGCGGTGGTGGAGGTGGTGGAGGCAGCGGCAGCGGTGGTGGAGGTGGCGGCGGCGGTGGTGCTGAGCGAGGTGCAGCAGCGCAGCGTGGAGGCTTTGGTGGCAGCCAGCGCCAGCAGCAGCTGCGCACCCGTGAGACCCCATCAGTTCAGCAGCTTCGTGAGTGGTACGCTGGGCGTGGGAGGTCTGGGAGTGCAGGTCTCTGCACTTACGTTCTTTGCATCGGCACTCGTAGTGGGGAGGTGTGTGGGCTCCCACACACCACGCAGCGCTGCTTCGGTCGCTTGACTGACGCTTGGCGTACCCAGTTTCCTGACGCCGTTGAGCTTCCTCGTTGGCATGATCTGCTCCTGCAGAATGTGCCTATCTTTGATCTAGACTTTGATGCTATCCTTGCTGCCATGTATGCTCTTGCTGATAGTGCTGAGGGTGACTGTTACCTGAGTGTCCCGCCCGACCCGGGCATTGCGGCTGCTGCTCTAGGTGCTAGTGCGTCTGCTGCTCCAGGTACTCGTGCGTCTGCTGCTCCAGGTGCTGGTGCGTTTGCTCTCTCTGGTACTGCACCTACTGAGTCCTTGCACACTTTCACACTTGACTCTGATGCTTCGCGCTCTTTCTTTAGAGACAGCACCACGCTCACGCCGCTCAGTCGGCCTGTTGCGGTCTCCCTTGCTGACCCCTCTGGGGGCCCAGTCCTTGCACACTCCTCCACGGTTCTACCGTGCCCTGCGGCCCCGTCGGGCTTGCTGTCGGGACTCCACCTCCCCTCGTTCTCTACGAACTTGGTGAGTGGAGGTGACCTCCAGGACGCGTGGGTTGACCAGTTCACCCCTGGAGGTCAGCGTGTGACCCACTGCACTTGCTCTCGGACGGGCCGCCACCTGGCCACGTTCACCCGTCGGCCAGGGTCGAGTCTGTACACACTGACTACTGCGCCTCCTCCGGTCCCTGCGTCTGGTCAGGTAGCTGCGTCCAGTCAGGTGTTTGCTGCCGCGTCCAGGTCTAGTCCTGCGTCTGCCCCCTGCTCGTGTCGTCCTCTGGCGCACGAGACTCTCCTTTGGCACCACCGCCTTGGTCACCCCTCCCTGCCTCGTCTTCGAGGTATGGCCTCCCGTGCTCTTGTCTCTGGACTCCCCAGGTCCCTCCCTCCCCTTCCTCCGGGGCCTGCCCCCACCTGTGTTCCTTGTGTCGAGGGCCGGCAGCGCGCTGCTCCTCACTCCTCCTCGTTCCCTCCGACTGAGGCCCCTCTGCAGACTC